GAGGGCCTTTTCCAGTTCCCAAATTTTATGTTGCCTCTGGAAATAGATGGTGATTTAAGTAGGATGGAGCAGAAAACAATTTGTTTGAAAGTAGAGGAAAACAATAGATAACTCTTAAAACCCCATTTGGGTTGTGCACTATTAATAATCATGACTGTAATGCTTTCAGTACATGAGAAGACCACTTCCATTGTTTGTGGCAGTACACTGAGGCCCCCACCTCCACAAAATTATTAAGAGAAAAGACAGCCGGAACTGCATTCTATGTTTAGTAGTTTTTCTGCTTGGCTTGTGCAGTTCACACCTCCCTTAATCTTTGCTGGTAATGGCTAATAAAAGCAAAATGTATTGAGCACTTACTATGTCTGAGGCACTTAGGCCAGCCTCTGCTGAGCATGATCGCATTGGCCCTCACAACAGCCCTTTGAAGTAGGTATTATTATTCCCATGGCAGTGACCATTCTCGACCCATAGGTGGGGACCTGCTGTGACGATGTATAAATTCATAACGATGTGTCCTTCCTCCACACACCCTCGTGAGAACTCGGCTTTGTGAGGATCTTCTGCCCCACTAATCTTCATTTAATTCCCCTCCCTGCAGCATGTTGTCACCTAGCACGCCCCTGCTGACAGGCCCTCTGTAAGTCTTCATCTGAATGACGGCCCTGGAAAATCAAGCTGTGGTCTCGAAAGGGAAGGAGGATCTGCAGATTATCTCCTCAGCATGTGCAGTCACTCTGCTGGCAGCTCTTGGGCCGCTTTTATATTGCCTCAACAAAGAGAAAGGCTGCCAAGAGTGTGTCATGTTCCATTCAGAATTCCCCACGCTGGCAGTGGCTGGGACAGTAGAGACACAGGGAGAATGAACAATTCCCAGCTCAGCCCCATCCATCTCTTCTTACTCGTGTCTGTGTGAGGAAGCCTTTGAGAGTCTTCTTATGATTCTTTATAGGCCCTTGGAAAAGTAAGATAAGGAGGACAGGAGGAGAACAGGAGAATGCAGAGGGAAGCTGGCTGGAGATCAGATCATTTTGCCATAACCAGCAGGCAATTTCTTTCACAAATCATTGAACCCTGGGTAGCCATTATCATCCCAACTGCTCACTATTAACTAGCCCAGACTCTTAAGGTCATGAGAGTCAGAGAAATAGAATTCCTTTCCTTTTTCTCACTCTCTAAATACTGGTCATACTATGTTTAGATACCATGTTTTAGTTTACAAAGTATATTGATACATACTATTATGTTTCTCATGCCATTGTCTTTGAAATGATTATAATCTGACTTTATTAGTGAGAAAACAAAAATTGCCAAAATATTTTCAATTTAAGAAAATAACAAAGGCTCAGAGGTATTGAGTGTCTCAAAGACACTCAGCTGAATGAGGTGGGAGCCAGGCTTGTAAACAGGACTTCTGGCATAGAGTCCTGTGCCTTTTCTATTATATTGTGCCTTTCTGATGTTTAGCCAGTTTCCTGTAGGATGAGGTAAGTCCCACCCTGCAGGAGAGTGGGGAGCTTCCAAGGAGACCTGTCTTTGGTGGTGATGGGCCATATATGAAAACCAAGCTTCCTCCAATTGCCTGCTAGGTCTCTCGCCAATTGCTTCCTCTTACTATCATCTTAGCAAACAACAAGTGATGATATTGGCTTAAGAAAATCATTGCAATAAAATCCAAAAGCTGTGAGGGAAAAAAAAATGTCACTGCAAAGGCATCATTGTGGGAGAAAGTGCTCCAAGGGAGATTCCGGCCCTCCTACTGCCCTCCCTAACTCTGGCCCTGTTCGTAACTATTGACTGATGGCTGGACAGATATTTTGACCCTAATTGAAAAAAATACAGAAACTGAGGAGAGAGGAAGTAAATAAGGAGTAGGGAGAAATGTGAAAAAAAAAAATTCTTCTGAGGATACCTGGAAATTCGAAATGTGAAATTTTTCTCTTTAGATAAAAGTGGTTTAGGACTACATGTTAAATTAGGTCTTTAGAACTGAAATATTTCTGTCACTAATAATTTTTCAGCATTAAAAGGGTTCTAGGTGATGCTAAGGTATTATTTCCTCTCAGGAAGCTTAGATTTTCTAACCTTGAGACAGATTCGGAAAAGCTCTGATCCTTCCAGCAAGGATCCTGGTGACATCTCTAACCCAGGAAAGTGACCAGACCCAGTCCCCAGGAATATTACTTTCTTATTGGATTGGAGTCCAAAAATACTGTTTTTAAACCAAGGGTTATATGTTCATCATAGAAAAAAAAATTAAAATACATATAAGTAAAAAGCAAAAAAAAAAAACTCTTACAATTCTACCACCCAAATATTACTACTCTTAACCTTTAATACATTTTATGCTATATGTGTTTAAATGTAAACATGTATGTCTATACACAGTGCTACTAAAGCATACATTAAAATGTACTGTTTTGTGATCATATATCCTCTTACTATATTGTAAATTTCTTCCTATGTCAATAAACTTCACTTTTTTTTTTTTTTTTAAAAAAAAAAGACAAGGTCTCACTCTGTCACTAAGGCTGGAGAGCAGTGGTGTGATCATGGCCTACTGCAGCCTTGAACTTCTGAGCCCAAGTGATCCTCCTACCTCAGCCTCCAAAGTAGCTGGGACTACAGGCTCACACCACCATGCCCAGCTAATTTTTTAATTTTTGGTAGAGACAGGGTCTTGCTATGTTACCCAAGCTTGTCTTGAACTCCTAAGCTCAAGCGATCCTCTTGTCTCAGCCTTCCAAAGTGCCGGGTTATAGGTGTGAGCCACCCCACCCAGCCCCTCACCATTTTTAATGTCACCATGTTTATTCCATTGTATAAATGTACCATGATTTGTTTAGTTATTTTTAAATTATGAAATATTTTACTTATAAAAAATATACAGAAGAATTACCATGGCTTATTTAATTTCCAGCACCTCAAGAATCTCCTTTCCTAGAAGGGAATAATTTCAATACCTAATATTGCAGTTTCACTCTGTAGTTTTACAGTGCTCTTGCACATACATTATTTCGTTTGATCCTCACTATCACCTCCTAAGGTTGGTGTTATGTTCATTATTTTTCTCATTTTATAGATGAACTACATAAAACTCAAAAAGACTAAATGATTTACCCTAAGTCCAGTTAAGTCAAAGAGATGGCTGGGTCCTAGGACTAGATGTGACTCTTGTGGCAGGGCAGATCTCCACAGCATGCAAGGGAGGAGTCAGGACCAGCAGAGTAGCCCCCACAGACTCACCCTGCACTGCACCCCCAGCTCCTGCCCTGCCCTGACTTCAGCCTTGATCATGCGTACTTCTTTCTGCCTTTTGACCCAGTGTGCTCTCTGGGGGCAGAGACTTCTGTCTTCATTCTTCTCTCTACCCCTGCTGCCCACCACAAATTCTGATACAATAAATGCCCAGCTAATGTCTGCTGGATAAGTGAATGAATGAATAAAGAGTGTCAGAGAGATACACAAATTGTGGAGGCTAGGTGTTCCCAGCTTTCTTGCTTAAAGCCTCTGTTTTTAGTTCAGACGTTTTAACAGAACACATCTTTGCATTTTGACTTTTGGGGCTTCTGTAGGTTTTAGTCACCACTGGAAAGCTCACACACCGATGCATGGAAAAGCATGTTCAAAACCAAAGGCAAGGAGAAACCTGTTTGCATACTAGCTTCTTTCCACCTTTTCTAGTGGTGGCCCTACTCTAGCCCCAACTGGAATGGACCAAGCTCTCCTTAAAGCCAGCTCCCAAGTTACCATTATGTTATCCCTCATTTGAAACTACTTTATATTTATGATATGTATGATATAACTCATTTTTAACTGCTTGTTAATACCTTAGCTTAGCAGCTATAATATGGTTCATGAGATTTGTTTGGAGCACTGTTATTGTTGATTATAAAAGCAGCATAGCAGAATTATAAGAGCTTTTAGAACAAAAATTACTGAAATTCCACTACCTAACAAGGCAACTATTTTTCTTTTTGTATAACCCCGTCAAGAGTTTGTCCATGTGTATGGACGTACTTATTTTCCTAGTTATTATCATGGGAGCATGCAGCATTTTTTCCTGATTTTTCCACTTAATATGATTACAAGAACATTGTTTCCCTATTTTTCAGTATAGACTTCATAATTATCTTTTTAACGACTGCATAATTCTCTATTGAGTTGATATACCAAAATGTACTTATACAATCCCCCAGTGTTTCACATTTAAGATGTTTCTGATTTTCCAGTAGTCTATAGTGCCACACTGAAGGTTGTTACGTGTATTGTTATGCAATCTTTTGTGTTTGTCAGATTATTTTCTTAGGATACTTTCCTTGAGTAAGATTGCTGGGTCAGAGTAGGAGCACATTTGTGGTTCTTGCCAGGCTGCTTGTGCAAAAAGGTTGTTCCAGTTTATGTCCCCAGCAGTTGGTATGTTTACCAATTTTAGGACAATCTCATCAGTGTAGGAATTGTGGTTAATTTTTTTGTTTGCTCATTTAGCTGAAGTAAAATGGTACTTCAGGGTTGCTTTATTTTTGCATTTCATTGATTATTAAAGGAAATTAGCATTTTCCCCTGTGGTTACTCTTTGTATTTCTTTGGATGTGAGTTGTCTGCTAACATTTACAGGTCTTTGCCTATTTTAGTAAATTGGGATCTTCATTTTTTAAAAATCAAGTAAACTCTTCACACACGGTGGCTATTGAACTTTTTCATTTATGTTTAATATATTTTCCCATATTGTTTTGCCTTTTCATTTTAGATATGTATTTGTAGTACAAACATTCTTATTTTTGTAATAAAATCTGTAAATGTTTTTTTCTGTTGCTTTGAAACTTAAGCTATCCTCCCTCTGGAGAGCTAATAAATATTTAATTCTACCTTCTGTTATTTTAAATTCTTTAATTCATCTGGATTGCGTTTTACTATAAATTGAGATGCAAATTAAATTTCTTTCTACATTGCAAATCAGTTATTTCAGTCTTAGTCTGTTCTTTTATTCTCTTTCTCAGGAATCATACACCAGATGAAAGGTGATTATGACACTGCACTGAAACTCCACAAGACCCACCTGTGCATCGCCCAGGAGCTGAGTGATTATGCTGCCCAGGGCCGTGCCTATGGGAATATGGGCAATGCCTACAATGCCCTGGGCATGTACGACCAGGCGGTCAAATACCATCGGCAGGAGCTGCAGATCTCCATGGAAGTGAATGACCGCGCCTCACAGGCTTCCACACATGGGAACCTTGCCGTGGCCTACCAGGCCCTGGGTGCCCATGACCGGGCCCTGCAACACTATCAGAACCACTTGAACATTGCCCGGGAGCTACAAGACATCCAGAGCGAGGCCCGGGCCCTCAGCAACCTGGGCAATTTCCACTGCTCTCGGGGAGAGTATGTCCAGGCTGCCCCCTATTATGAACAGTACCTCCGGCTTGCTCCCGACCTTCAAGACATGGAAGGAGAAGGGAAGGTCTGCCACAATCTTGGCTATGCCCATTACTGCCTTGGAAATTATCAGGAGGCAGTGAAGTACTACGAACAGGATCTGGCACTGGCCAAAGACCTTCATGACAAGTTGAGCCAAGCAAAAGCCTACTGCAACTTGGGCCTAGCGTTCAAGGCTCTGCTGAATTTCAGTAAAGCTGAAGAGTGTCAGAAGTACCTACTGTCCCTAGCCCAGTCTCTGAATAATTCCCAGGCTAAATTTCGAGCCCTAGGGAACCTGGGCGATATATTCATCTGTAAAAAAGATATAAATGGTGCAATAAAATTCTACGAGCAACAGCTGGGCTTAGCTCACCAGGTAAAGGACAGAAGATTAGAAGCCAGTGCATATGCAGCCCTTGGCACTGCATACCGAATGATCCAGAAGTATGACAAGGCCCTGGGTTATCACACACAGGAACTGGAGGTATATCAGGAGCTGAGCGACTTGCCAGGGGAGTGCAGAGCTCATGGGCACCTGGCTGCTGTCTACATGGCCCTTGGGAAATACACAATGGCATTCAAGTGTTATGAAGAGCAACTGGATCTAGGGCAAAAGCTGAAGGATCCAAGTCTGGAAGCCCAGGTCTATGGCAACATGGGCATCACAAAGATGAACATGAATGTGATGGAAGAAGCCATTGGTTACTTTGAGCAGCAATTGGCCATGCTGCAGCAGCTAAGTGGAAATGAGTCTGTGCTTGACAGGGGCCGGGCCTATGGCAACCTGGGAGATTGCTACGAAGCCCTGGGTGACTATGAGGAAGCTATCAAATACTATGAACAATATTTATCTGTGGCGCAGAGTCTGAATCGCATGCAAGACCAAGCCAAGGCTTACCGGGGCCTGGGAAATGGACACAGGTAAAAATGACCAAGGACAATTGTGGTTTATAGTTCTGCAAAAAAGAGCATTTGTGACAGTAATGGCAACTTCATGTCTGCATGGCAGTTTGTTAACTACAAACATTTTCTTACATATCTCATCTGATTCCTCCAATAACTATTTGAATTAAGTAGTTGATGTTGTTACCCTTATGCTATGGGTGAAGAAACTAAAGCCCAGAGAAATTGAGTTAATACCTAAGATTTGCAGCTTAAAAGGGACAGCTGAGAGTTGAACCCAGGGCTCTGTGGCTCCAAATGCAGTGCCTTTTGACTACATTAGAATGAGAAGGATAATAGGGATTGGGAAGGTGAATGAATCACTTTCCCTGATCTTTTCTGAATACCTCCCACATTATATGAATGTGTTTATTAATACAACATCTGCATCTAACAATTATTTAGACCCCATTGTGTTGCTTCTCAGAAAAGCCACCTGATAATAGGAGAATGCATAAATATACTATGTTGCATGCATCATCTGTGGAAGGTCCCTTGCACAGATATCTTAATAGTTATAGCAGTTTTGTATTACTCTACATCTATTATCATCTGCTGTGGGATGTGGGATTTATTATCACCAGAATCGGAGGCTCAGGGGAACTAATTCACGTGCCCCACACAAATGGTTTGGTCATGCTCTTTCCACTCTTATTGTGTCTTCTCTTAGCAGCACAAAAAGACACACTGTTGGTCAAGGTGATACTTTCTCCTAAATGTGGGGAACCCAAGAAGGTGCCTGTGTCTGCAGAATATATGGCCCCACCAGAGAGGCAGGGGATTAGGGCTCCTGGAGTGGAGGAAGGGCAAGGGTCAAACTAAATCTTCACCCACAGAGTGCTCTGAGAAGCTCAGGGTGAAAGATTTATAGCCACTGTAAAGTGATTTCAAAAACATAGTCTAAGCAGTAGTGGAAATTGGGAGGCCTGAAGAACCAAACAGTTCACTTGCTATCATTGTGCCTATTAATATATTTTATGTTTCCTCTGGGGTGTATATCCCATTGAATCTCAAGCTCTTGGGAAGGTCACTAAGGGATGACTTTTGAATTGCTTTCCAGATTATGAAATTCCTCTGCATCTCACTCTAAGGGCACATGATAGATTTTAGCTAGAAGAGGAGTTAAGAGCTTCTATAGTAAGTGACAGTGACAAATGCTTTTCATTTTCTCAGGGGCTTTAGCATGTCTGCACCTGCACGAAATAATATCATTGCTTTTCTGTCTACATCCCCACAGGGCAATGGGGAGCTTGCAGCAAGCCCTCGTATGCTTTGAAAAGAGGCTCGTGGTTGCCCATGAGCTCGGGGAGGCCTTCAATAAAGCCCAGGCCTATGGAGAACTGGGAAGTCTGCACAGCCAATTAGGGAATTACGAACAAGCCATTTCCTGCCTTGAACGCCAGCTGAACATTGCTAGAGATATGAAAGACCGAGCCCTGGAGAGTGACGCAGCCTGTGGCCTGGGGGGCGTTTACCAGCAGATGGGGGAGTATGACACAGCCCTGCAGTACCACCAGCTTGATCTACAGATAGCAGAGGAAACCAACAACCCCACATGCCAGGGCCGAGCCTATGGGAACCTGGGCCTGACTTATGAATCCCTGGGCACCTTCGAGAGGGCTGTGGTCTATCAAGAACAGCACTTGAGCATTGCTGCACAGATGAATGACTTGGCGGCCAAGACGGTGTCATATAGTAGCCTTGGAAGGACCCATCATGCCTTGCAGAACTATTCCCAAGCAGTCATGTACTTACAGGAAGGTAGGTGAAAAGGCCCATTGTGTTCTCTTGGCCTACTTGAAGTCAAGTTCAGAGTCAGAACTCAAGACTCAGAGGGAAGTATACACAGTTTGAGTGGCCACTTCTGTGTGGAGTAAGGGTCTCAGAGGCCACATTGTCAGTTCAACTCCAGAATCACAGAATCCCCACCAGGTGTCCCTTGATAGTACTAAGGTGTTTCATTGTCCATAGCACCTTGCCCTGCTCTCTCAGACCCAGATTGTCTTATTCTCTCAGTGACAGCATCTACTGCTCGCCAGCTGCCCAAGGAGCTGAGACCCTCCTTGCTTTTCAGAACCCTCTGTGGAATGAGCAACATGTTCTCACACAGATGAATCAAGTAAGATGTAATCCTAAAAAATTGTAAGGGTTTCAATCAGAAGAAAATGTCCATCTGCTCCAAGCTCTGTTGTCCCTCTAGAGAATATCTAAACTAACCATATTAAAACTTTATAGAAGTCAGTTCTGACATGGCAGCTGAGGTCTAATCCAGAAGTGTCAGTCTGAGGGGCACTCAAGCAGTAAACCAGGCTTCTTTCCCAGCATTTGTCACCTACGGTGCTTGGGCTGGTGCCACAGTAGGGTCTTGTTCCAGGCAGGCCTAGATACTGAAGGCTGCACAGTTTCACCTTGGATCCTTCCTTCCTCCGAAAGCAGAAGTCTCACAGCAATGCATTTGCCCTCCACCTCTTTACATTGAGATGGGGCTTTCTGCTCTTAAAAGTCCTTCCCCTTACACAGGCATATTGGATCCTCTCATCCTAGAAGGGAAAAAGAGCAGATAGCTCACTGGTTAAAGGAATGGTTACTGATTTCAAGTAAAAACTCTCATTTCCACGGGGCTTTGCACATAAAGTTTGTTTAATCTGATTCAGTTCTCACGATAGTCTTGTGAGGTATATCTTTTTATTCCCATTTTTGCCGTTGAATCACCTGAGGCTCAGAGAAGTACAGTGATTCAATCCTCATCATGTGGTCAGTTAGTCAAGGAGTAGGGCCCAGCCCAAGTTTTCCAACCCAGAAACCACACAAGATCCTCTCTGAAGTTGTTTCTAACTTTACAATTGCAGAGTAGGGTTGGGCATCCTATCCCCTTATACTCCCGAGCCCCCACTGGGAGGCCAGGAGAGAGATAAGCAGGAAGCAAAGAGGAGAATAGGTGAAGAGCTGATGATTCGCTGGTCTCCTTGCAACAGACCAGGGACTGCGCTGGCCTGCAGTCTGAGAGGTTACAGAGAGTCTGGAAGCCACTTCCCAGACCTTATCTAGCTCCCCTTCTATCCACATGGGGCTCTGCCTGAATGCATTAAATGAAAATGTTGGCTTCTAATTTCCTGAAACATGACTGTGGTAAAATTCCAACAGACGAGGAGCAATTTTCATTTGAATTTGTAAAAACTATTAAATTCAGTCATATGACAACTTTTCAGCTGTGTTCTTTTGTACTTCCTGAAATACTATTTTCATGAAACAGCTGGTTTGCCTGAGACATTGCAACGCAATTCTATATTTGTGGAAAACTCTCAAGTTCATTTTTATTGTTTCTTGTAATTTTTTAAGTCTTGCAGAGATCTAAAAACTCTAATTTGTAGCATCTCTACGGTGTCTGTCTTGTGGATGTGTCCACTAGACAGCCTGCAGCCGATGACTTTCCTCGTGGGCCAAACCAGAGTGCCTCTTCTCATGAGTGCAGGACACCTGGACAGTGCTTTCCAAACGCTCTGAGTTAGGTCTGCAGCCTCTGGCAAGGAGGGACTAGTTTATCTGGAAGCCACCCCACGGTTCCCTCTCCCTTGGCTTTGGAGGCTGTGGAACCTTATAGATCAATATCACCCTGCTTCAGTGCGACAGATTCTCACAGGTAGGGCCTGGTCTGAGTCTTTTGAACAAGCTTTCCAGGTGCTGTGGAGGGAGACACCTCTGGATAAAACCACTGGTCTCACCCAGCCCTTCCTCTTCTTGCAAATGAAGAAAGGGAGCATGGATCAATTTGGTGACTTACCTGGGACCAGTCCCTGACAAACTATAGGTTCTAGGAGAGCTGGATGGGTGTCAGGTTCCTAAGAGGCAGAAGCAGAGAGAAGCTGCGGCAGGACAGATACCATGTCTATCCAGTGGGCTTTTAACTCTTCATTGTTGAACCTCAGCTAGAGTCCTACATGCTGAGGATATAGCAGGAACAAAGCACAGTCCCTGTTCTCTTAGAACACGGCTTCTAAGCAGGAATTGTCTCAATGAATTTTACTTCTGACTCATAGATCTTGACCTAGAAGGGACATCTGTATTGAAGAATTAATGTGGTTAGCTTATTGAAGATTTAAACAATCAGTATCCTTCTGGTTTTCTCCCAAGAACCATCTTCTTTCCTATGTTTTTCTATTCTGTGAGGTGTTTAAATATGTGAATTATTTACAAATATTTTTGTTATCCAATAATATGATTTAAACTTAAAGTGTTGTTTCTAAGTTTTCTGAGTTATGAGCATTTTGAAATGTATATTTATGACCTTGAACCTGAGTGTCACTTTTCTTACCCTTTCAACAGACTCAATTCCTTTTCAAAAGTCTGAAATTGCACAGGCCCAGCATGATCAGAGGCAGGCTTCCGTCTACCCTGAATTAGATTAGAAGAAGGAAGTCCTTCCTTTGTATGTGCAGTTGTACGGTGGGAGCCTTCATGCTGTCTCTGCACAGGCTAGCTTCTGTGTACAGTGAGCGGGGTAATGAGGGCAAAGTGATGCTGAGAACTGCCTAGTGACCAATACAATAAATGGTTGCCTTCAGATTTGACTCTCACAAAGCTCTGGAGGTTGCTGGTGTCCTGAAACCCCGAAGCTTGCTGTGGGTAAGTGACCCAAACTGCAGGTGCCTACCTGAAGGCTATTAAAATGAGGATGGTCTCATTTAAAGTTTTTGCCTTACAATAGCACTGGTTTTGCAACCCTGCTGAGGCACATCAAAGTCTTAAACTGAAAGGGAAAACAGATTAGACATGAAATGTGTCAGTAACATCAGTAACAAAAGGCAGGATCAGGCTGTGTTCATATTCTGCTTTCAGGAGAACATCGTATGTGTCTTCTATTAATGCTCATTGGATGCTGTGCACATGAGAAAGGAAAAATACTCTTTTGCCTTCTATATTTAACTATCAGGAAGAGCTTTGCCAGCCAAAGAATCAGGTTAGATAAGTTTATCAGCCAGGAGTTTTCCTTTGCAAAGCTGTGGATTTCAAATTTAGGAGGGTGACCAGATTAAGTTTCACCTGTTTTAGTGTTTCTGCCTGCCCAGCAAACCTGTCTCCTGCTGATAGCCATCACCTGAGCTCTTGCCAAGGCATCCTGGAAATCCTGGAAATGTTGCTACCAACACAGAATTTGAAGAGAAGGCTTATTCTACCGTGGCTGATTCAGCTCTTATCCTCATTTTATCTAGCTGTGGTGTTAGTGTTCTTTTTTTTTTTAAGAGATGGGTCTCACTAAGTTGCCCAGGCTAGATTCTTACTCCTGGGCTTAAGCAGTCCTCCTGCCTCAGTCTCCTGAGTAGCTCTTGTTAACATTCTTTTATAGACACCTGAAGCAAAATTGGGTGGGAGCAGTGGCTATCCCAACACTTTAGGAGGCCAGGGTGGGTGACTCACTTGAGGTAGGTGGATCAGGAACTGGATACCAGCCTGGGCAACATGGTGAAACCCCATCCCTACCAAAAAATACAAAAGCCAGCCGGGTTGTGGTGGCCTGTGCCTGTAGTCCCAGGTACTCTGGAGGCTGACTGAGGTGGATCACCTGAGCCTGGGGAGGTCAAGGCTGCAGTGAGCCGCCATTGCACTCCAGTCTGGGGAACAGAGTGAGACCCTGTCTCAAAACAAAAACACAAAAGTAAAATGACCCTCCAGGACTCCTTAGGATAGTGGAATTATCCGTCTTCTATGTTTCCTTAAATTTCTCTATCTGGTTTCAGGTTTAAGGTTAGCTGAGCAACTGGGCCGAAGAGAAGATGAGGCAAAAATTCGCCATGGCCTTGGCCTCTCCCTTTGGGCTAGTGGAAACTTGGAGGAGGCCCAACACCAGGTAAGCAGAACCCCTGACTGAAGTGGATTTTTTGTTTCCAGAAGCATGGGAGACCTTAGGATTACTATCCTAGTAGTGATAGCATTTACAAGAGGCACTGACTTCTACCCTTGGGCTAAGGTGTATGATTTCCAGCCTGTACTAGCCCAGAAGTATTTGAACAATCAGTAAAGATTTTTGCTCACTCATGTGATAGATTTCTCAATAATTTCTTAAGAATTCTTGTATTAAGTGCTATTGCTCCCCATTAAACATTAATATGAAATTCATTTCATGACAGAAGGAAAACAAGAATTCATAATTAAATTTCATGTTTCTAGATATATTAATAGATATAACTTCTCTCTTTCCCTCTTTTACAATAAGGCCATATTTTTGCATATATGCAAGTAGTTGAAGGAAAGTCCCTTGTCATGCTGGCCCTGGAGAGTAGAAAGATCCCTTGAGTTATGGGCCTCCTCTGTTAGGTTGGAGGAGTAGTGAGATGGCTGCATCTAAGATCACACGCTCATCCAGATAGCAAGCATGTGAGTGGTGACTGCAGAGGACATTGTGCTAGGCAGAGAGGAACAAGGATAAGGACATCGAGACTCCTATCCAGAGGTGCTCACTAGAGTTGAAGAGATGCGACTGAATTTGCACCATAGCATTCTAGAATGTTAGGGTGTTTTACTGTACTTTGAAAATGATTAAAGGCAATGTAAAGGATTAATTCTCTAATTTCCTGGTTATAAAAAGTAAAACCTGTGTTGATCTTGTGATTTGCAATTTTCAAAGTACTTATTATAGCTCAATGAATTTGATCCTTAAAATAACCCTGTGAGATAGAAACTATCCTCTTTATAGAGAGGAAGAAGTTGAGTCTCTGAGTCTTGCCAAAAGTCACACAGCCATTTAGTGGCAGAGTTAGGAACATATTCTCTTACCGCTCTCTGGGTCTATGTCTCTTAGTCTTAGAATTCTGTACTTGATCTTAGCCAAAAGGCTGAGAAGCAAGTAGTCTTAGAATTCTGCTTTTTAAGTTTGGATAAATTTAAAATTTGATACTGAGTTTCCAGCATATAAGTATCAGAGTCATCTTAGACAGTGTGGCATGAGGGGAAAAAAAAAAAGAAAATATCAGAGTCAGAAAAGTCTGTAGCCTCACTGATGGAGAAGCCTGTTAGAGCATCAGGACAGTGACTCCGTTCGGAATACCAATTATCTGGTCCTCAGAGTGTCTGTGTGAGTGGGCATGGCTCCTTGAAGAGCTTGCCCAGTGATGATCTGACCCTGGGGCACTGAACCATCTGCAAAGAGCTATCATCCTTCAGAGAGTGTGGCGCTCTCTTCCCCTCAGGCTTGTTCATTTCCAGCATGCCTCCACCATACCTGTTCTCACTCCCATCCTTCCTCACCATGAGGCGTGAGGGTGGTGAATTGTGGTTGCCTGATGACAAGAGGAGAGGCTTTTTGTTTTAATAGAAATCAGCACTTGGTGGATTAATATCTGTTTTAATATCTTTAAGACCATAAGTCTATAATTCCTGTCTTTTAGATCCCCTTATTTGTCAAAAATTGATTATATAAACTGTAATTTACTAGGTATGATCTGATGCCTTTTCAGGTCCACAAGGACCTACCTGGTGTCAGGTTCTAACTGAGGTCCAAGGGGAGTCAGTGGGCGAGTGGCAGGTAGCTGGAAAAACACTCGAGGAAGTGTAGACAGTTTCACCATGGCTTTACTTTCTCTGGGCATGAGCAAGCCCGGGCGCGAGCCATGTATACGGCGTTAGCAGGGTAATTATACCTTTTAAAGACAATGGTGGCTCTGATCACATAGGTGGTCACCTAATGCGCCTCACGTGATGTGGTTACATAACTAGCAGAGTTGTGCGCCTGTGCTCCAAACTCACTGAGTCATGCTGGACTGGATGTCTGCCTTGGGCTGTTCTTGACCACAGCACATCCATTTTCCTTACACCTGGACATAAGACTCTTCCTTTCAGATCTTTAAAAAATATTTAGGGTGTGCACAAAGATATGAGCAAAAGTTGTCTCTAGTCTGTAAACAGCTGGACCTTGGTTTCTGGGGAATGGATGATGTTCTTTCTCCCTCCTTGCAGCTTTATAGGGCATCAGCCTTGTTTGAAACGATCCGACACGAGGCACAGCTGAGCACGGACTACAAACTCTCCCTCTTTGACCTGCAGACATCATCCTACCAGGCCTTGCAGCGGGTGCTTGTCACCTTAGGTGAGAACAGCAGGGGTTACTCCTTGCTTATGTGTGCACTAGCGTGTACGGGTGCATATCCGTGTGTCCAAGTTGTTTAGTGACAGCTGTGAAGAAGCATGATTTGTTTTAACAACAGATTGTGAAGCCATAACTGTAACCAGTCATTGAACATTCATTCATTTATTCAACAAAGATTAGCAGAGCTACTACCATGTGCCGAGTGCCTGCCGTGGGGATTACAGTCAAGAAGGCCTGGTTCCTGACCCCAAGAAGCTCTTAGCCTGTGGAGAGACATAAGTCAGTGAGTCCAGTACAGTGCTGATTGGCACTAGGATAAACTCAGATGCTGTGGAAATGAAGTCTCTTTAAAAAAAAAAAAAAAAAAAAAGACAAAAAAAGTTTAAATAGAGATGAGGTCTCACTATGTTGCCCAGCCTGGTCTCAAACTCCTAGGTTCAGGCAATCCTCCTGCCTTGGCCTCCCAAAGTGCTGAGATCACAGGTGTGAACCATCACACCCAGCCTAAAACAAAGTCTCTTGTCTGGTGCGTCCAGGAGCCAGAGAAAGTGTCCTTGAGACAGGGATGCTTGAACCAGGTGTGCCCTCCCCAGGTTCCCTCTTAACACTAGCGTGTGGTTCAAGCATCTAAGAGGAAGTACCGGAGAAGACACCTGGCCTCTTCTCTATGTCCTCATCCACACACCTTTCAAGGTTGCTATCTAATAAATGTTTTTGCCACCTGGGTCTGCCTCCTAGACTTGGCATAGTCAGTGATGATTCTCCCAAGCCTATGTGCCCCATCACACTGGGGCAGCATGCATCTTCTTTCACCCAGGCCTTAACTAGTCAGCGAGTCCCTTCCAGCTCCCCTGTCATCTGCCTCTTCCCAGGAGATACTTATTGGAACTAACAAAGGCTTTGAATTTGGATGTTGAGGCCTTTTCGATAACCTGTCTTTTGCTGTATATATAGGAAGGACTCAAATTTCCTCTTGAAAAATGTATCTATTAAATGCATTCATTGCCTGCGATTAGAGTTTATTATCTATTATAATCACAGTGTTAAGTCTGTCTAGCACTTAGGGGCCGATTTTCCAATGTGCACAGAAATTGTCCCTGCTGTTCCAGTTAATAACTTAATAGAGTAAAAGGAGACATTTACATACACACATATAAATCTCCACTTGCTTCTGATACCCAAACTGCAGGAAGCAAGGCATCCTGGAAGTGCTGTCACAGCTGCAGCATCTGGTCTGCTTCTGTCTGCTTTCTTTGGACTCTGGTTATAGTAACCCTTCCATATTTACATTTATTACAAAAGTAAATCCTCTGCATTGTGTTCCTTCAGCACTTATAAACAATTCCTTTACATTTTTTGTGCTTTCATATTGGTGCATTAGCTTTTAAACTAGATTATAGACCAGTTTCTTAAGGAAAGTGGGATTCAAAATTCGATTAAAAGACAGGAAAAGCTTGAGATAGAGAGGCAATTTTAAAGATATAGAGACCTGAGAGGTTTAAACTCTTTGCCCCTGGGGATAAGGGAAAAAGTGTGTTGGAGCCCAGAATGGAATGAGATATCAGCTCCAACAACACTACTACTGCCTGTTATACATGTGGTGATGTAAGTAGGCCTACCAGGCATCTTTTCATGTAGTGCTTCATTTAATCTTCAAACTAGCCCTTTGCGATAGGCAGGACAACTGTTAGCATCCCTCTTCTTGAGACAAGGCCAGTGAAAGGGAAGAGGGCACACCCAGGAGAGGGACTGGCATGCGTAAATGGACGGAAGTATAATCTGGGGAGAAATGGTTAAGGCTGGACAATGTTATGCATAGAGGGCCCGCATGGAGGGAGGAGAGAGAGTCAGAAGACGCACAGACACTTTGTGAGGCTGAGGCGGGTAGATCACTTGAGGCCAGGAGTTTGAGACCAGCCTGGCCAACGTGGTGAAACCCCATCTCTACTAAAAATACAAAAATTAGCCAGGCATGGTGGCACATGCCTGTAATCCCAGCTACTTGGGAGGCTGAGGCAGGAGAATCGCTTGAACCCAGGGGGTCAGAGGTTGCAGTAAACTAAGATTGCATCATTATACTCCAGCCTGGGAGATAGAGTGACACCCTGTCTTAAAAAAAAGAAAAAAAGGACACATAGAGAGCCAAGTGACACCAATAAACCTGGTGTCAGAAGCCAGGCAGGAGGTTAAAAAAAAAAAAAAAAAAACCAGGTTAGGGAGCAACTCAGGAGGTGGAGCAGAGATGGCACAGGGCTAAGGACAAGTTCACTGAATTAGATCAGCTCTCTTGTGGCGCTGGCTGTAAGACAGGCGAAGGCCTGATGGTTTAGGGTAGTGTGGAATCAGTCATGCAGGACACTGCACCCACCATCTGAGGCAGGGAATTGAATTCGAAGCAGTGTGACTGAGATTCTGTCACATATTGGAGAGCAGAGGCAGTGAGGTTTCTGCCCAGGATTTGATGGCCGTCCCTGATAGGCCTCTCTAAGTAAGCACACTCACTATGGACCCCTCAGCATATCTCTTTGTCTCCTAGGCCATCATGATGAAGCCCTGGCCGTGGCAGAAAGGGGACGGACAAGGGCATTTGCTGATCTTCTGGTGGAACGACAAACAGGACAACAGGACTCTGACCCCTACTCCCCAGTCACTATTGATCAGATCTTAGAGATGGTTAATGGCCAGAGGGGACTAGTGCTTTACTATTCCCTGGCTGCAGGCTATCTGTATAGCTGGCTGCTTGCTCCTGGGGCAGGTAAGATCTCTTTCTGTGGGAACAGGGCAATTAGAAGACTAGACCTGTAAAAGTCTAATGAATAGAGGTGGAAGAGGTGCATTATCATAGATCATGCTAAGGAACTGATGTCAGATTTTAGCAAAACCTCAGCGGCAGTGGATAAGCTGTGGTGGGGCATTCAATTAATAAGACAGCCCAGCTTTCTCATTCCCCCAAGAAATCGCTGCTCATCACTGTTGAATGTGGAAGCATTTATCAAGGAAGACTAAGAGCAGACGAGTTAATTTCACTAGCAGCCCTGTGTGTAAGCAGCTGTTGTTCATTAGCTAATAAAGCGATGACTGCAAGACCTAACGAATTCTTTCTAGATATGGTTTAATAATTGTGACCCTTTGTCATGGCAAAGTTAAAGAGACTAAAATGATAATGGCAACTCTATCACAGGTTATAAATAAGTCCTATGCTTGAAATTTCTGAGTTTAACAGAACCCATTTTTAACCGGTTCTGCTGTAAATCTATTTCAGAAGTAAAAATCTCCTTTGATTAAATCAGCATTGAATGTTCAGGCTGTAACACTTTCACTAAATACAGAAACAGTAATTAGCTGTTAGGGCCATATTTTTTGCATAATAAAATGCTGATGGCTTTACCAAGTTGGAGACACACCAGATCCAATTAGAGTTTATTGACTGGGGAAGTGGATCTTATAATTGGTAATCTTAAAGAATGGGCTTCTTGAATATCTGTAAGCCAATTTCAAAAACTTTAACTGCCAGCGAGAATTGACAAGATTTTCTTGATTATGTTTCTATCCCTTTGATTAAAAAAAAAAAAAATGATGGCTGGATGACAGCTCCCAGATGCTTTTAGGCTCTGAACATTTGTGCCTATACATTCTATACCTCGGCATTGTTTTAAACAATTTTTTCTCTTTAGTTCCATGTTCTTTATGGGCTTTCCACAAAGAATGTTCTTACAGCTGGCATTTTTAATGCTAAAGGTTTTAAACTGTGATTTTTACAGTGACTTGGTTAGTAAGCGTTGGCCACAGTGGAATCTTTGTGGATCCCAGCTCCCAGAGTGGCACTGATACTCGTGAGGACACAGTTGATGACTGGGAGGTATCAAACTCCTTCTCTCTGTGGTTGTTACATCTTGGGGACATGATTTGACAGGTGGTATATCTGAATTCCTGTAATAATGAGCCATGTATAATGAGGCTCCTATTGTTTCTTTTTCCGTTCCTTTTTGCTCTTAATGAGGCTCTGAAGCTTTCACTGGGGGCGCTAATCCAATCAGAGAGGACCGGCGTTTTCCAGAGCTGACACACCTCATTACCATTTGAGAATATATCCTATTTATTGCCAGAAAACCACTGTGGACTGCCTCAATTTCATGCAGACATCATTTTTTACTCCTTTAATTCATTAATAACCACTGACCAGTTAGTCTTATTTAAAAATGGTTTAAAATGTTTTTATCTGGCCTTTATACTACATGTTTATTATAATTTGCTTTTGTGAAATGAAAGCACTGTTGGAACACAATTTCCACTTGGCCAATTATATTTTTCTTTGAGATTTCAGTTTGTATAAGGAATATATCTTGGCGTACTCATGCACTATTCCTGAAAGGAGACTTTCCCTAGTTGGTGCTTCTAAGAAGCATCTGTTTTGAAACACATAGGAAGTCATTATAATTCCAGGAGCTTCTGAGACTGTATCTAGAATTCCTTGGTTTCAAGCACCACACCTAATGGTAAAAGCTGTGAAAAGGATACTGACCAAAATAGAGAAAGCCCTCTTGAGACCTTGGATTTCAGGATTTTTTCACAGGGTTTGCAGGATGGCATGCTTGTCAAAGAAGTCACATACCATTGGCAGTCCTGTCCCCTGCCTTCAACTTCTCCTTTCCCTGACCCTAATTGTGTATAGTGTCAGCTGTGCCTGTTTTGCTTCAGGAATTCTGAAGTTTAATGAACACTACCTGGGTGAGAACACAGTGGAAAACTCAAGTGACTTCCAGGCCAGCAGCAGTGCAACCCTTCCAACAGCAACTGGCTCAGCCCTGGAGCATCACATTGCCAGTGTCCGGGAGGCCCTGGGGGTGGAGTCTCACTACTCAAGGTAGGTAGTAAAACATCCCCAAGCCCATTTTCAGATAAATCTCAGGGTATTATTTTTTGTAAACATTCTATTTGAACTAACAGAAGAAATCTTTTGGAATTCATGTGGTTGTGCTCAGTCTGTTCACAGCTGCTGCAGCAGAAACAAATATGTGTCTCTGGAGTGTAAGCCCCTTAGTGGTCTGTCTTTATTCTTTTTTGGTGATTTTCCATCAGATGGGGAAGGGCCTCATCAGACATGCCCATTCCTCTAAGCAGGATTTGTAAACTGTTTAAACATAAACATGGCTTTGAATTTAACATACCAGCCAATTAGAACTGAGATTATTTTTTGTTATAAACAAATTATAATGAGTCTGTTTGTACTATAGCTGAACACCTATTTGAGAGAGTAATTTAGTACCAGTGACAGGATATGTGCACAGATCTGTGAGCTGAGGGGTGAGGTGAAAGGAGCTGAACTCTCAAATGTGAAGAATAGATAAAGGAACTGCTTTTTGCAAAGGTTGTAAAAGGTATAAGCTTATGGAAACATTTTATCATAATGATTGACTATTTTACATATGAAAAAATAATTTCCACAAGCACCCTGCTTCTAGGGGAAATCAAAGGAAGAGGGTACCTTAGAGCTGGGTTGTAACCAGATTTCCCAGGCATCTCCGTTCTCCATCCAGTGATTACCAAGAATCCAGAAGATCTGTGTGTCAGAGAATCTGCTGTGTTAGCTTGTATCAGGTCCCAAGAATCTCTGCTCATCTCCTGAATGATTTCATTTGTAATCATGAAAATCCTTAGGTAATTCTGTGATTTATTTAGAGATGCTTCACCCAGATTTCCAAGTATGTGGTGGGTGCTGCCAGCAGCTGGACTGATCTTTGGGATGCTTATTAAGTTGGTGAAGAAAGAGTTAGTTGAAAAATAATTATTGAATAATGTAATGTCAATATTGGAAGGGGCTGTAGTAGTCATCTAGTCCAACCCCTTTATTTAACAGAAGTTAACACTGAAATAGGACTTGCTGACAGCCAAGTTAATGTCAGAGCCAGGATCAAAACAGTCTAGATCTCACCCAGACTTCCAGGCCAGTGCTTGTTCTGTTTCTGATTTTCAAAATTAATATCATATTTTGAGAAAATAGCCAAATATAAGAATTTCATTTCTAGCTTCTGTTTTTATGAAGTAGGAACAGGCTTTAGCCACATGCACACGTGCTTCTCTTATTTATCCTATGACTGCTGTGCATCCTGAAGTATCCCCATCCTTAACAACCCAGGCAACAGTTTGGCAATTACAGGAGTTGACAGGGTGGTAACTCCCAAGAACTTGGAAGTAAGACTGCCCTCTGAGATTGAAATTATAAATGACCATAATGAACTAGGTTAGGCATTAGACCAGAGGTATACAAAGCTGCTTCAGCAGACAGAAATTCAGGCCAGTGTGATTAGACTATAACCTGACCAAAGGTATTACATGTCCCAAGTGAGAGTTAGAGGGGCATGATTGGCCAGCAATAGAAACCCAAAAGTAGGAGAGCCAGCAGGGCAGGCTTTGGCAGTGTTCATTTCTAACACTATCAAAAGTAGAGAAAATCTTGGTTTAGGAACACAAAGTCCCATCGAAAAGGCTGACCCCATGGTGGACATGCAGTTGCCATGTTCTCTTAGTCCCCCCACTGTCCCTCCTTCCACAAGTATTTTGAGTGCTCACTCTGTGTAAGGTACTATGCTAGAGATCAAGGATCCTGATGAAAAAGCAGACATAGCCCCTACTATCCCAAAACTGAGGGGCAAGCTCTGAAGTGTGGCCTTCTAAGTTTGAAAACCTGATTGATGTTGCTAACATGCCCAAAGAGGGTTTGCCTCTTGGGAGTGAACTTTCTTTAACCAAGCTCAAAGAAAGTTGTACAAACTAGAATGCCAGGTATTATGTACATTCTCTATCTGCAAGTATATTTACATGAGAAACCAAATGATAGTTAGAAAGGTTGACAAGAAGCATGGGACCTGACCAAGGGAAGGCAGGAGAACCATCTGAGAGATCTTCTCCACCAAGGGCTGCTGAAGACCTTTGTGTATACTGCCTGGGGTAACCTTTGGCAGTTTAATTCTCCTCATCCTCTGAGCTCAGTTCAAATATTCCCTCCTTAAGGAAGCCTCTACAACTCCCAACATAGGTTTCCCTACCCCTTATGCCCATTTGTACATTCTCATTATACCCAACATTTTCATGTAAGCACTTACTACAATTTTAATTGAAAGGTTTTATATACTCTCTTGTTTACTCTTTTTCATTTCTGTGAGAACAGGGGCTATGTCTGCCTTATTCATCAGGATCCCTAATCTTTAGTATAGTACCTTATAGAGTGAGCACTCAAATACTTATGGGAGGAGGGACAGCAGGGATCTAAGAGAGCACGGTGACCACATGTCCACCATGGGGTCAGCCTTGCCGATGGGACTTTGTGTCCCTAAGCCAAGATTCTCCCTCCTTTTGATAGTGTTAGAAATGGGTACTGCCAGAGTCTGCCCTCCTAGCTTTCCCTTTTTTGTGTTTCTACTGCTGGCCACCAAGATTCTAAAGGTACTTGAGTGTATGACACCTGCCATTTGAAACCTCTGCATACATGAAGGTGGCCTCTCCCTTCTGGCAATGTGGGGGCCACATCGAAGTCATCTCAGTCTAAACCAAACATTCATGGGGCTCAGCCTGCATGAAAATGTAAATTTTACCTAATTCGAATTTCCAGATATCTAGATTAAAATTCACCAGGAGAAAGAAGAGGATTACCCTTGGTCTCACTCTTCCATGCTCCTCACTGGATGTCATGGTTGAACTTTAAATACCTGTGTCTAAGCAGTTCTTTTCTAAGATGCTGGAGGTTGAGTAATTCTGTTTCCAGGTGCCTTTTGAATTTAAAAATGTCTTTTGAGTTATAGTTCATCTCTTTATCAATGGTAGAGAGACAGGAAAGACTGCAGCTTGCTTGTGTTTCCCATGTTAACCATTTCCCCTCTTCTCTATACAGAGAGCTTACAAGTTCTTATGAGTCCTTAGGATCTCCAGCAGGTTATGTGGCTTGACATTCGGCATCACTTTGTTGGGCTGCCCTCAGTGGCCTAGATCTTCCCCTTAGACTGCTAGAAATAAGGTTTTTCCTATTGCTTCGGAGTAGTCTTGTTAGAGATTTGTTCGTATTTTGTGAGCTTAAACTCATATTGTTGATTATAATATTAAAATTAAACTCTTTATTGGCGTGGTTTGAATTTACTGGAATGGAGTGTTTGTGAGAGCAATTTGTATCTCCTAGTTTCATGAAAACAGTAAGAAAATTTCATTGAAGTATTATTTTTCATCTATAAATTTAGTAAATATTTTTTAAAACCGTAATGCTCAGTGAGAGTAAGGATGCAGTGAATGACCTGGCTCATATCGTAGGGATATACCTTGATTTTGCATTTCTAAAAACAAATTGCCAATAGTGTAAAAAATCTTTGTACATGTTTATGCCCTTTGATCTCAAAATTATTTATTTTAGAAATGGAGCAAAGATCTGTACATACTAGTATCTGTCCTAAGTTTATATATTATAGAAGACATTGAAAACAAACCAAATATACAACAATAATTAAATTACAAATTATTTTATATCTATTCAATATGCTATGTTGCAATTAAAATTATGTTTACAAAGAATTTTAATCAAATAGCCAAATGTTTAATCACATAGACAAAATATTAAGTGAAAAAATAGGATATAGAATTACTGTGTATAGTATAATTTAAATTTTGTCGTACAAAATATGGGTATGAAAAGAAAAATTCTTGGAAAGAGACTAGGCTATATTTTAGTGGTGATTATAAATGAATGGTGGAATTATGGATGCTTGTTATTTTATTTTACAATTAGGCATGTAGTACTTTTAAATGAGAAATAAATAGCCATGAATAAACAATTCTGTCATATCAAAGGGAGAAAGAAAACCTTTTTGTAATTTGGCTTTACAGAGAATAAAACCCCAGTGTCAGAGCCTGTCACCATGATCTAGTGCTAGGAAGGAATTCTGGTTTTATTTTCCATTCTTGTCTCTTGGTGAATACTGTATTTCAACCACTAGGCCTTCTTCTCTGCTCTCTAAATGTACCCTGTAATTTCTGTCTCTCTACTGTAGCTCAGGGGTCTCTGAGCTCTGGATCTGTATATGTAGCTGTCAATAAACATCTATGTCTGGATATCTTCCAGGCAGCTCTGGTCTAAAACACCTAAAGCCTAACTCTTTAATGTCCCCATTTCTACTTTAATCTTTATCCTGATTCCTACACCATCATATAACTAGTTGCTTAAGACAAAAGAAATGAATCATCATCCATTATTTTCTCTTTCCCTCATTCTAATCAATTTATCTCGCAGATTTGTAGAAATATATTTCTGTAAAATACATTTTGAATGACCTACCAAGACTGAATTATGAAGAAATAAAATATCTAAACAGATCTATAACTAGTGAGAAGATTAAATCAGTAACCAATAACCTCCCAATAAAGAAAAGTTTGGGACTAGATGTATTCACTGGGGAATTCTACTAGACATTTAAGGAAGAATTAACACCAATCCTTTTCAAATTCTTTTTTAAAATTAAAGAGTAAAGAATGTTACTTTTTTTTTTTTTTGCCAAAATCAGGCAAAGATACCACAAGTAAAACAATTGTAGATCAATATTTATCATAAAAAATTAATGCAAAAATCCTCAAAAAATACTAGCAAACTGAATTCAATAATACATTAAAAGGATTCTGTACCATGACTGTGTGGGATTTACTCTTGGAATGTAAGGATGGTTCACCTATGAATATCAATCAGCATAATACACCACATTAACAGAATGAAGGACAAAAAACACATGATCATTTGAGTTGATGCAGAAAAGCATTTGACAAAATTTAACACCCTTTCGTGATAAAAACCATACTGCAAGCTAGTAAAAGGAAATTACCTCAACATAG